AAACCATATCACCTGTCGAGGCCTTGTGGAGTATTTTAAGGTATTGGCCTGTTTAAGAGAACCTGAGTTTGTTCACCTGTAGCCTTTTGCTCTGATTAAAGGGGAAAGCAGGAGCAGGCAGGGCAGCCCTGATAGTCCTGACTCACTGCAGCTGAGGGCAAACACCTCCTGGGCCTGGATCTGACCTCACAGCGAGCCCCAAAACTGGGAGGAGCTGTTTTCCTTCCCCTGGAGAACTGAGGACTGGAGGGGGATAAGCTGAGGGCTGAATTCCCGTTGCCTTTGGAAAGGGCTTATTTTCGTTGTCATGACTACGGGGACATTTCCATGTGAGACATCAGTGAGTAATTCTCACCACCTGCTCTCCAGGGCCACCTGCCTCTGGCTCCTGCTCCCTCAGGGAAGGACAGAGGTAGGTGCAGATCCCACGGGAGGGTGTGAGTGGTGGAGGGAGATCCTGGAGTGACTGATCCAGCCCACCCTGGGTCGACCTCGAGCCACGTTACGTCGCGTTTCCTGACCAAAGCCATCTCATGCCAGGAACATCCTCCTCCTCCTCCTTTAGATCCTGCCAAAGCTGTGTCTGGAGCTGGGTGGGGGGTGGTTGGTGTTGCTCATGTGTGCTGCATTCCCTGTGATTTCCTCCTTTCCAGGCATACATAAAGATCTACCAAGGGGAAGAGTTGCCACACCCCAAGTCGATGCTGCAGGTACGTGAGTGGGAGCTGGTGGGAATCCATGTGCTGGAATTACCATTAATTCCCAGAGGTGTCCAGCTAGTGCAGTACACTGGGCCTGCTGTGATTGCATTCCAAAATGTAACAGCCCAAAGGAGCAGCGTTTTGGGAAGCGTTTGGCAGTCACGGGCCTGGCATGTCTTGGGAATTGCCCCTTGGATGGGCTGTGGGGGATTGCTGGCTGCACACAGCACCAGCCAGCTCTGCTGGAACGATCCCCCACGGGTAAATGGGATCTGTGGGGCCACACAGGGAGGTGACAGGGCTCTGGATGTGTGCAGTGGCTCCTGGGCTGCTGCTCCACTCCCGGAGCCAGCCGGCATTCCGGCATTCCGGAGGGTGCAGCTGTGGCTGTTTACAGACAGCTGAGCCTTTTATCTCCTTCCTTGCTGTTTCCCACAGCCAAAGCCAAAGATTTCGTTGCTCTGGCTTGGAGGGAGGGAATCCTGTCTTCAGTGCAGGCTTTTGGATGTGTAAATAGGGGATGATCTTAGCTGGGATTGGTTGGAGGCTGGGAGAGCACGCTTGGCTAAGCAAGGCAGCTCCTGAATTCTGGGTGTCCACACACGTGTCCTGGCTGTCAACACATGTAGGCCATGAGCATCCAGAGAGCTACTCCCTGCTGTTCCACTGCTTAACCCTGTCCTTCTGCACCCTAATTTTGTGCCCCTTTTGCCCCCCCTTCCAGGCCACAGCAGAAGCCAACAATTTAGCAGCAGTTGCCACTGCCAAAGACACCTACAGCAAGAGGATGGAGGAGGTGGGTGGTGCTGAGCGTGTCTGTTCACAGTGCCCCTGTCACTGCTGCCACAGGTTCATGGGATCCTGGAATGGTCTGGGATGGAAGGGACCTTAAAGCTCATCTTGGTCCAACCCCCACCAGCCCAGGTCGCTCCAAGCCCTGTCCAACCTGGCCTTGGACACTTCCAGGGGCAGCCACAGCTCCTCTGCCCAACCTGTGCCAGGGCCTCACCACCCTCCTTCCCAATCTCCCATCTAACTCTGCCCTCTGGCAGTGGGAAGCCATTCCCTGTGTCCTGTCCCTCCATCCCTTGTCCCCAGTCCCTCTCCAGCTCTCCTGGAGCCCCTTCAGGCCCTGGAAGAGGCTCTCAGGTCTCCCTGGAGCCTTCTCTTCTCCAGGCTGACCAGCCCCAACTCTACCCTTGTGGGGAAACCTCCCTGCTTGGTTTCCTGGTAGAAAATGCCCTTCATGGCCTTGGCCCATTGACTTCCCAGCGTTCCCCAAAAATGTGAAGGAGTGGGGTGGTCACCTGTGGTGCTAATTAGGGGATCAAGTCATTTTGAGCGGCTTTTTCCCAGAATTCCATCACGGAACGCTGGAAATCGCTGCCGGAGCTGCATGGCCAGACTAAAACACCTTCAAACCAATATATCCATGCTCTGATGCAGAAGGGAAAACACTTCCAGATGGGGTTTTCCAGCTCTGGAAAACGCCGGGATTCAGGGTGGGTGTCGGGGAGCTGTGAGGGAATTGCACAGGGAGCTGTGGGATGGGGCAGCGGTTCATCCCGCTCCCGGAGCCCTTCCCTCGGGATCCAGTGGCCCTGGAGAGCCCCAATCCCAGCCGTTCCAGGGGGAGGGGGGGATGCCGTTCCGGGTGCCACCCCCGTGCCTGTCCCCACGCAGGTCTGCGGGGGGGACAAGCCCTTCCTGGCTCCCAGCGACCTGCAGAGCAAGCACGCCGAGCTGCGGGAGGAGGCGGTGAGGCTGTTCCGGGGCGTGAAGAAGATGGGAGGGGAGGAGTTCAGCCGGCGCTACCTGCAGCAGCTGGAGGCGGAGATCGACGAGCTCTACGTCCAGTACATCAAGCACAACGACAGCAAGAACATCTTCCACGCCGCCCGCACCCCGGCCACGCTCTTCGTCGTCATCTTCATCACCTACGTCATCGCCGGCGTCACCGGCTTCGTGGGGCTGGACATCATTGCCAGCCTGTGCAACATGATCATGGGCTTGACACTTATCACACTCTGTACCTGGGCTTATATCAGATACTCTGGGGAGTACAGAGAACTGGGAGCAGTTATAGACCAAGTGGCCGCAGCCTTGTGGGACCAGGTAGGATAAAGAGCTTTTGGTTTCCACAGAAAAACACCCCCCCCCCTGCCCACCCCTCCCTCCCTGCCCACCCCGGTTTGTCCTCAAGGGGAGTTTGCCTCCCCCGTTTGGGATTTTAGGGTTGGTAGAGCCAGCAGATCCAGACCTGAGCCCTGTTTTTAAATTTTAATCCATTCCATAGACCTTCCAGGGAGGAATTGCTTCCAGTGCAGGTTGTGGAGTTGGCTGCAAGGTGAGGTGTCTTAGGGATGTCACAGCCCCGTGTCAGAGCAGGGTGGACAGCAAGGCTGGAGCTGCACCCCTGAGCCTCTGGAAAACAAGCTGTGTAGATCCAGGCTGGGCATGAGAAAAACTCACAGCAAGCTCTTTTGGTTTGGCTCTTTTTTTTTTTTTTTTTTCCTCCCCCTACTTGTCTTACTCGTCACCAACTGTGAGTTTGTGGAGCCTCTCAGACCTCGTGGGAATGGGGCAGCTCTGCCATGGATCCCACTGGGATCCTCAGAGCCGGGGTGTGTGCTTGTCTCTGTCAAAAAGGAAGGTCCATCCCCTTCCCCTGGTTCAGGGCAGGGATTTGGGCTCTCCTGGCTCTGCTGGAGGTCAAGGCCAGGTCTGGCCTCTGTGCCTGTTTTGGCACCAGGCCCTGCTTTCCTGTTACAGCCTTTCCCTCTTCCCACTGCAGAGCTGGGAGAAGCCCAGACCCTGCAGGCTCCACTGACTCCCCCTGCCCATCCAGGGGTGCAATCCGTGTTCCCAGAGAGCTGGAAGGCTGCACTGGCCTCCTGCCCTTCCATGGCAGAGCCGGGTGAGCTCGTCCCTCAGAAGCCTCCATGGGTTTGATTCCTGGCAGGAAGGGCCATTCTCCAGACCTTTACCCGCTCTTTCCCTGCTTTTCATCCACCAGCAAGATTTCCATGGAGAGCAAGCGCATTTCCCTGCTTCCCTGTGCTGCTGGAGCTGAACCTGCAGCCTGGGGAGAAAAAAAAAAAAAAAAGGAAGCATTTACTGCTCAGTTCCTTCATCCCAGAGCTGGGCAGTGGCAGCATATCACCTGTGTCCCAGGTGGATCCATCCTGGCTTCCCCGTTCCCAGCAGCCTGAGCACCCCCCCCACTGCAGTGGCTCTTTGCTCAGGGACACTTCCCAGCTGCCTTTGGGATTTGCTGGGATATCCAAGCCCATCCCAGTGCAGGCAGCAGTGGGAGCTCAGCAGGAACAGGACACAGCAGGAAGCTGCTGCCCACTTACAAAATGCCCAGCTGGGGTGGGGAGAGGGTGGGAAATGAAGAGGTGAAAGTGCCTGGAGCTGCTCCGTGGCTCCTGCTGGCATCCATGGCTCTCCAAACAGAGGGAAAGTTCTCTGGAGAAGGAGCTGGCCAGTGGCACCTTGCCCACCACCAGCCACAGGGGGGGTCCAAGCACTCCTGGCTCTACCCCATGGAAGTGGGATGGGATCCAGGAGGGATGGCCGGAGCAGTGAGGGGTCCTGCCTGTCTGGGGACACGGCAGGGATGAGCTCCACGTGCTCCCCTGGCCACGTGTGATGCACAGGGGTGTTTCTCTCTCTTTCTGTCTCCCCCTTCCCAAT